AGCAACCCCCCACCCACCCACCCTCGAGACACCCTGCTGATGACAACTGATGACAACACACACACACACACACACACTCCTGCAAGAAGGAGATATCCCCTGCAGCTGAGATACACTCTCAGACACATATGCGGAGCACACACGTATAGAGAAAGCTCCAGAAGTGTCTTTAAACGTCACCACAGAACATTCTCTCAGGAGGCCTGAGCCCAGCTGTCATTGACACCCCCCGTGACATGTCATACATGCACACTTCCTTTTAACTACAGTTCCAGTTTGTCTCCTCCATCACTCTCTACTGTAACTCCCATGTTGGCCTACATGCAAAGAGCCAGAGCTGAGCGTGGCATCATTAACATCCAGCGCAGAAAAATAATTAACACAGAGGTCATTAACTCATGTAAACAAGACCTTAAGCACACACACACACACACACAACTGTACTGAGGCAACATATACTGTATGTCGGAGTGTGTGTTAATAATGAAGGTGAGTGTAATGGGAGTCCTGTGGGTCCAGCTGAGTGTCTCTCAGGGCCGGATGCATCGAGCAACCGCACTGCAGTTTTTATTGAAGTGTATTTAGTTGGTGCAGTGCAGGACTACAGTAGACCACCAGTTCATCCAACACTTGAGTCTTACCCAACAGGTGTAGAAGCTCCAACATGGAATGCAGCAAAAAACACCCCATTATTTTGCATTAATGAGTTGATGTCATTTTGATGCATGCAAGCTAAACCTGTACTGTACGCACAATGTTTGTCAGGACGAATTCTGTAATGTGTAATGTTTGATTATGTAGAGTTTAGACTAATGTTGGGTAGAATACAAATACAAAACTCCAAACTAGACAACAGTTTGTATACTGTATGATATACAGTGTAATCAATATAATGAAAGAGTAGTAGATAGAGACTCATCCATAGCTTGAGATTTCTGTATTGTGTTTCCAAGCTGCTCATACATGCATGCAAGTGGTGGAAGAAGAATTCAAATATTGCACTACTGCAATATGAAAATACTCCATTACAAGTAAAAGTCCTGCATTGAAAATGTCACTTAAGCAAAAGTAGTTAAGCATTACAAAATGTACTTTAACTCACAAGCAAAAGTACTCACAATGCAGAAAAATGGCACCTGTGTGTGTTATATGTGATTATTTCTGATGTTTTAATGTGTTCAGTTGCATTTTCATATTGTACTTAGTCGAGGTGGAGCCAATTTGAACTATTTTACACACTGCTGAGTGAGTGCTGTTGTGGTTATTAGTGCATCATATTTTCTAAGATCATCATATTTTGTGTGTAAGATCCTTATCTGTATGGTAAGGCTGTCAAATAAATGAAGCTCCTGCTAAAGTTCAGTCAGGAAGACAATACTTTTCATGCTCAGGCTGTAAGTTTCTTTCCCACCCTGCCATTCACTCCTTGCACGCATGCTCACTCACAATCTTTAGGTGTCATTGTCTGCGTAGTTTTTTCTTGCTGCCGTCATCACCACCTAGTCTTTACACATTCATCAGCCTACATGCCTCAGCAGTCAGCAACCTCTGAGTCAGCAGCCACCACCGCCACCAGTGTCTGGACCCTATGAGGGGATTTGTCCTGCTGCCGCTCAGATGTCCCTCGATCACAAAATATCTCCCTCTGGTGTCCAAGCGCCAGAGACTTCTGTTAAATTCTAATCAGCACAAATCATCTGTTAATCTGTACACTCATATTCTGTATTAAATGTTATTGTTACTTTATTCCTCTTGTCTGTCCTGATTGAAGTATAGTCAACTAAAAAGTGCAATATTTCCCACAAATGGTAGTGGAGTATAATGTAACATAAAATGGAGATACTGAAGTAAACTCAAAGTATCCCAAAGTTATACTAAAAGGGACAGTTCTCCCCAAATCCTCTCATCTGTAGTGTTGTTTATCAGTCTAGATAGTTTTGGTGTGAGTTGCTGAGTGTTGAAGATATGAGTCATAGAGATTTCTGCCTTCTCTCAAACATGGTGGAACTAGATGGCACTTGGCTTGTGGTGCTCAAAACGCAAAAAACAAAACAAAACAAAACAAAATAAAAAAAAACATTTGAAAAACTCAACAGCAATGTCTCTCTCCAGAAATCAGGACACGCTTAGACAAGATAATCCACAGACCTTGTTGTGAGCAGTTTCATGTTGGAACTATTTTCTTTCTACCAAACTACACCTGCTAACTGTATCACCACGCAGAGGGAAGTGTGCATCTACTGTTAGCTCACCTAGCACCACTGAGCTAGCTAATGTTACAGCTCCACAAAAGAGGACCCAATTATTGTTTACATCTTCTGCTGTCACATGTGAGCCTCTCATGAGTAGATGTACACTTCCTTCTGAGCGATGACGTGCGTTTGACGTGTCATTTGGTAGAGAGGACAGCAGTTCCTGCATGAAACTGCTCACACCAAGATCTGTGGATTATCTTGAGTAACTGGGTCAAGATTTCTGGAGAGAGACATTGCTGTTGAGTTTTTAAAATGTTTTGTCACTTTGAGCACCACAAGCTGAGTGCCATCTAATTCTATTATATTAGAGAGAAGGCAGACATCTCTACGGCTGATATCTCCAACACTCTGCAACTCACACCAAAACAGTCTAGACTGATAAATAGCACTATAGGAAAGAGGAAAAATATGTATTTTTGGTTTTGTGTTGAGCTGCCCCCTGAGTACAGTACTCAACTAACTACTTAGTTACTTTCCAGGACTGCAAAAAAATTACATGGTATACTTCGCCTTTTATTACTGTTGGTTCATCTGTGATATGAGAATTTTTTGTTGTGTGTTATTGTCATACAAAGTGTGCTGTGAGTAACAAAGATGGGAAAAAGGAAGAAGAGCAAAGGTCTGTAATGTTTTTATCTCCTAGTGTTTCCACCTGAACTCATACACCCATCCTACCTCACAAACGCTCCCTCCTCCACCTGGTGTTCTTTTCTTTCTGCTGAGCATGAGTGATGACGTTCTCAGAGGAGTTCCCAAAGCTGCTGAGAACAGCAGGTGATTATTAAGCTCCCTTTTTTAAGCTGCTGATGCTTCTTCTTCTCCTCTCAACTCAGTTTTTGGTGTTGTGCCTGTTCTGTATTGAATGGGAGGGCAGACACTAAGATGTTTCAGACTGAGTATGTCTTTGTATGCAAGTCAGCATCATCCATCACTCCATTAAATCTGTGGTGAAAGTTGCTGACAGATATTGTGACTTAGTTGCACACGCAAACACACACACACACACACACACACACACACACACACACACACACACACACACACAGAGTACTTCCCACAAATCATCCATTAATGGCTGCCATCTAGTGTTCATTAATGGAAAGTGTTTAAGCTGAATAAACAGGAGTAAAAGCTCCTTTTTCATAGTTCATCATCTACATAGCTAGTTTAACTGGACAAATTTATTGTCATCGTCATATCGAAACAACACCAAAACATCAATTTTTCATGAGCTAAGAAATGTTTTCAGCTTTGTGAAATTATTTTTTTTTTTACATAATTGAATGTGCTTTAAATGGTTAATTTATGGGCTTACCAAATTTTGAGTTACGATGTTTTGTTTTGGGGTTTTTGTTTTGGGACAGTGAGGCATTATCCATATCGACAAATCCAAGTCTGCATTTGAAAGCATTTGAAAACCAAAACTGTTCATATTTTCACCTGGTACACCAAGTCAGGTCACACAAAGGTTATGAAAGTTAACTAAATCTAAAACTATGTGTGAAAAAAAAAAATCTAAGTTATCTAAATTAAAAATAAAAACTAGAATTTAGAAAAACAAAACTAACTGAGACAATAGTGTATTTACAAAATCAACTAAACTAAACTAAAAATATACAGGAAGTGTCTTTAGTTTTAGTCAGTGTGGTCAGCTTTGGCAACACAAACTGTTGAGGTGTGTTGGGGGCTAAATGGGTGTTTCCCAGCATGCCCTGAGACAACGTGTTTAAGGCCATAAGCCAAAGGAAACTGTGTTTAATTCACATCACCTATTACAGAGATTAATGTCCATGCATTTCACTATGGTCGTAATGGGTTATGGTTAATGTTATTGTAAAAGACACGTTGCACTATGAGTTAAGTTGTGCACACAGTTAGTGATGTCCTGCCTGTGTAGATACCAAAAAGTTAAGTGAGAAGGTGTACTACAGATAAATAAAAAGCACTTCCTGGTTCAGTTTATTCCTCTGCTGCCTTCTTGCTGGCAAGAAACCCCAGCTCACTACAATATGTTCTTCAACATGTTCCCAGAGACTGAGATGTCTCAATGAACATATGTACTGCTTTCACAAAGTGTTGTATTTGTCTTGTTCAGCTTCTGACCTTCCTAAATCTTGCCCCTAACAAATATCTTCCATTTTATCATAAAAAATAAATAAAATTAATATTGACACTTAAAATTGCTTAAGTAAAATTAAACATTATTTAACAATGAAACTAAACTAAATTAAAAAAAAAAAATAAAACCACAAAATAAAAGCTAAAAGAAAAAAAAAAAACATAACTCTGGTTCACACACACATACGCACACACACAATTGATATCATATAAACATTTATTCTCTGTACAGTTGTAAGGAATCAATGGGGAATCAATATTTTTTATTACAGATATAAAAATACCTTTGCTGCACCATGATCACTCCACACCCGTACATACAGTAGCAAAAGAACATCGTGTGTGTGTGTGTGTGTTGTGAACAGTGTATAAAACAATATGAGCGTGCAACCGTTAACATCTATTAGGTATGAAAAACAAAGTGTCACTCATACAAAAAGACGTACAGTTTGTGGTACATTGGCATATTTTTTTTAATAATATTCTCTACAAAAAATATCAGTGATAATCTCCTTTTTTATCTCATCTAGGTATCATTAATGACCGTGTGCAAATTTCAGAACTTAAATAACTTCTGTGTTTGAAGTAATCCCGTAGACCTGTGAGGAAACAGATAAAGTCTTTGGATTCATGTGTAAAAATCAAGTAAGATGACCTGCGGGTACAATGTTGCATCGGCACATTATACAGTATATGTGTTAAAAAAAAAGGCTTTTGATACAGTAAGTGTCCCTTTAGCCAGCTGTTCTTGTCACAGAGTCCAGAGAGGCAGCAGTGGGGATCTGATGAAGCAGTATGACACGTGATCTCTCTCTGTGTTCAACACAGTGTTAAAATGTGCAGCAGGTGCAGACGTCCCTCCAACAGGCAGCTTTTGACAGTGTGATTTATCTTGGCTTCGTAAAGTTTATAGTGAAGTAACACTTTTTATCAGTTTGATTGGCGGCCACTCTGGCCTTTCCCCTGGCAGTCACAATGTTCCATCCATTCAAAAACGTGAATCCAGTGGACTCTGAAAGTTCCTCGAGCGATTCTCATATTATTTTGTATGACATCAGTTAATCGTTTGAGGTTTAGCGGCCGGCCACGGGTCACTACGTGTTCGTAGGCTGGTAAAGTGAGACAACGTGAGACGAGTTTTTCTGATTGGTTGACCTGAGCCTGATGGTATCCCAGCAGCGGAACAGCGTCTCCCTCGCTGTCTGCAGAGGTGGAGGTTAGGACGGCCCCTAAGAGGGCTGCAGCTATAGATGGCTGCGCACTGGAGGACGGACACATAGGACAAAGAGAAAAATAGATCGTCACAGAGAACACACAGGAGGATGAGAAGGGTTGGTATGAGAAAGTACCTTCAAAGGGAAAATGTGCCACCTGTATGTGGATGTCTACTCAGTGTTGATGGTAAATGTAGTCTACTGAAGCTATAAATTCATCAGTGTGTGTTATAATGACCGAGAAAGCTGAGTTTGCAGCTGCAGAATCTGCTGTACTTCCTGCATCAAGCATCAATAGCCGTCATGTGAATTGAAAGTGACATAGTTGGAGGCAGGAAGAACTACAGGCTATTTCAGCTTGGATTTCTAACCTTCACCTCTGGGTAGCCTGAGGGAGAGCCCTTGTTCTCTTTGCCTGTATTGCAAACTAGCAACGTGACCAACAGTGAGAATGGCATCCCAAAATATGAGTGCAGAGGCCGATTTGGATGTTCAGCCATATTTATTCAAGCCAGAGTACAGAGCTAAGGACATCCAGCGGAGGCTGCAGCTGCATAATAAGGTATGGCCGGCAGCACGCCGACGGGGACCCTCCAGGACCTGAGCTGCTCAGAGTAAACACTGACTGGTGGTGCTTTTGCTTAAACTGCCCTCCGATGCCAACAGACACTGAATCATTCTGCCGCAACTAATTTCCGCGTAGGCAGTTTTTGGATGTTGTCACCAACATGGGGAGATCCCGTGTTTGCATAATTTGGACAGAGGTGTGCTGGAGATCTTCTCAGGATCCTGAAGATAAGGTGGAAAATGTCAGAAGCTCATGCATAATGCATCCTGGTACATGTAGGCTCTGCTGGCATGGCTCCGCAAGCAGGGGAACTTCTCGGTCCATGTAGCGCACACTGAGGAATCTATTGCTTCAGTTGAGTACATCTACCATCAACACTGATTAGACATCCACATAAAGCCTTTTTTAGCTATCAGTTAGATTAGTTTTCCCTTTAATGTCATATTAATCTGACATTTCATAATTCAAACACTGTTTCCCACATATAAAATACATATATTCAACCATACTTTGTGTACACTGATACATACAAACACAAAAAAGGAAGCACAGATGCACACAACTTACCGTTTAATCTTCGGCCCTTTGCAGTAAAGGTGTCCACTGAGAAGTTGCAGCAATCCTTCAGAGACACTAACAAAATAATAAAATACTATTTGATGCACTCTCAAGTAAACATGTAGGAAACAGGGTTGTCTTATATTTCTACACTTACATGTTGACCTTTGCCACCACTGGAAAAATGTAGACGGGACCCTGTGGGTCAGTGGTGGTCTGTTGGTACTGACATCCTGTACATGGTGTGGACAAAGTCTGAACTGAGACCATTAGAGCCCAGCGTTTGGACACTGATGTGCACTGGGACACTGAGATCAACATTCTCCAGAATACACTGCACAAAGAGAGACAAAGTATACAGTGCATGAATGGCTGCTATTTGTAAGTAAGTTTAACTTTATGAGTTCTAACAGGATACAATAATGCAGAGCTTATAAGAGACTGATACCTTGGTGCACGCAGAGCTCATGACAGATTTGTGGAAGTCCCCGCCTACAAACACCTGAGGGGTGAAAGGAAACAATAACTACAAGAAGAAACAAATAATGACGTCCAAGTGTAAGTCTGCCTGCTGCTGTAGTTAGCTATGCCTACCCTGTATCCATAGAGAAATGTGCCGTTACTGCAGCCCAGCTCGTCGAGTGGCGGCCTCTCCCAGCCGATCATGAGGCTGCTTTGGCCCACTGTCTTGATGACCTCAACAGAGCGAACCTCAGCTGGGGCTTCTGGAGGTGATCGGACAGGAAAGATCAAGCACGGTACAATACAGCCTAAATACACCCAATTTTATATGTATTTCATCATTAAATGACAGGTTACTTTTACAGTTTACTTTTTAACTTTAAAATTCTACCACAAGAGAGTGATATCAGAGGACTCCCTGTGTACTCAACTTGGCCAACAAATCCAAGTGATAGGGCTGCATCTAAGGATTATTTGCATTATCCATCAATCATGCCCTGTGAACTTTTCCAGAGCCCCAGGTGACGTCCTAAAATGAGTTTGTTTAATCCAACCAACAGTCCAAAAATCCAAAGCTTTTCATTTTATTATCATTTATGACAAAGAAAAGCATCAAATTATCCAATTTCAGAAGCATGAAACCAGAAAATATTTGGGTTTTTTACTTATAAAATTACTTAAATGATTAATCAATTATCACTAATTATCGACTAAGCGTTGCAGCTGTAGTTTATGGTCAAGTTTTGCAGTGTGTTACCATAGGGTAGTAAAGAGACTGCAAGAGTTTGTGCTGGTATTTTATACAGCATTACTTACAATACAAGAGACAGAAACATAGAACGGTCCATGTCTAGGATGGGTATAATCACATTGCAGCACTATCCAAGCAAAAAGTAATATTCTACAAGCTTAAACTTCAATATTACGCAACAATGCTGCAACATGTTCTTGTGCAAAGTTTGAGCAAAGCTGTTTTATTGTCAAATCAAAAAAGCTCTTTTAACTTTTCTGAATTTCTTCAACCAGGACTCGACGAAACAGTGACGTGTAAATAATCTCAAATAGTGAATATGTGCATTACCTGGTTTGGGTCTTCCTGTCTTGGTCTTCTCTAGAGCAGCAGTGCACTTTTTGGCAGACTTGTTGGATCTCTCAGGAGAGCAATGAGCAAATGGAGAGCAGGATGCAGCAAACACAGGTTCATGGTATGCAACAGCAGCACCATTCGTTTTCGATACCATGTTGAAATGTTTGGACTCAGGGGCAGTTGATATACTGGGGGCAGTTGTGACTGAGGCAGTGGTTTTTGGATTAGTGTTGGAGCGTATTAAGACATCAGAGTCACAGACTGTGGTCCTCAGAGCTAAAGGAGCAGAAGCTGTGTGTTTAGCATCACATGTGTCAGGGATAGCAGTGATTTTCTGTGCCAGTTTGGGGGATGTTGTTATATTAGTGCCACAAGGTGCCATAGTGGCAGAAGCAGAGTTAGAAGACCCAGAGACAGCAGACATGGTAGTTTTAAATGTGTCTGTGTTAAAGTGATGGTTAGTAAACATGCTGGGACTGAATGTAACATTAGCAGATCGAGAGGTGACTGCATTATAAAGTGTTGTGGACTTATTTGCCGGAGTGTGCTTAGCTTGGCTCGCAGCAGCAGTGAGTGGGAGAGAGTTGGTATCGGGCATATTAGAACTGAGGCTCTGCTGCTTTGTCTGACAGGCTGGTCTCAGGTCTGCAGGAGCTGAAAATGAGAGACATTTCCTGGGCTGCTGTCCTCTTCCTCTGCTCACTGGAGTCTGGAAATGAAGAGAAACACATGTATAAGACATTTGGCTCGCTGTAGTCTTGTGTGTATAAACCTTTATGTCAGGTGAGACTTACATCAGAGCAGTGTTATCTTCCCTTACACTTCAACTCTAACCTGCTTCTGTGTAATATCGAATGCTCAGAAAGCTTCAGCGTACCTGAAAGCTGCTCATTAGAGTCTTCTGCAGTTGCTCATGTAGGTTAAGGATCTTCTCAGGACTACTCATCCTCCTGCTTGGACTGACACGTGCGCCGTAGTAGGGAGGAGTCGGAGTCGGTGAGGATCTAGTCGAAGTGGTCAGCTCAGGGGAGGACTTCTCTTTCGTATCTGGGTGATGAAATCTAAATTTGTCTGGTCCACTGGCAGAGGCAGAGAGCTGTGGTTGGATTGAAAAATGGCATGTTGTAGTGTTTCACAATACTTTAAAATTAAGTATAAAAATAAGTACACACAGATAAAGGTGTTTTAATCTAACTGACTAGACTGACACATTTTCAAGTCTGTCATTTTAATGTTTTCATAGACATCTGATCGCTGTTTTTAGAATAGTGTGGGGAACTTTTGTCTTCCTCTCTTGCAGTGAGTTATTACACAAAAACTGTTGACGTGTGCTTATGACCTACGCCTGCAGGTGAGCTCCATCTCCCCCACTCCCCAGGAATGCTGAGATTTCTTTTTTACTTCAATCCCTTCTCTGAACGCAGAGTTTCTTTTTTTTATCTGGAGCATCCACTCCTGAAACTGGACGTTTCTTAGGATTTAAACATTAAGATGTTTTGTAACATATGTTTATTAATTCAGGCACGGTAGCACAAAAAGAAAATATACCACAGAAGCAGGGAAATGCTGCCTTTCTTGTTTATTTAAGATAATTATGTCATATAATTACTGCAGTAATGTTTTTTCTCTGTTAAAATGCTACATCTACAAACATTAGGCCTAAGGCTGCGACTAAAATGAGGTAATACACCTCACAGACATTTTTATCTTTTCAGGTGCACAAAGTTGTAATTTGTTGGTTGGAGACGTGACCATGGTAACCTGTGCCAGCCTCAGCTCTCTCATTGTGTATCTCACAGGCGTCTTTGTCACCAGATAATGCTTAAATTACTAGAATAGGTAGCAACTAGTCTGACAGTCACAGCTGACAAAAGTCTTGTCTGAAAAACTTCAAGGTGACACCAGGGAAGGGAAGACAATATAATATGCTAGTCAGGTCAAAGACAGATGTCACGTTTGGGAGGCTGATAATATGACAGATATATGATAAGATAATAATGGGGGTGACATTGAGATATGAAAGATGAAAAGAAACATGAGCAGGACAGAAAATTGGACTTGGTCCAACTAGGTAGACAAACAAAGGACTGGATTCCTCAAGACCTGTTCCTGTTCAATGTTAGGCCAATGTTAGGTGGTGCAACAAAGTGTCCAGTGTTTGCATACTTCCCCGGAAATAGTATGCAATTCATGTGCACCTGGTTTCATACTGAGATTTTGGACATAGAACAGTGACCTGGTGGTGGGTCTTGGTCCAAAAAGTGGGCTGCAGGACCGTTGTGAATGGACCACAAGTGACTCACTAACATGTCAAGTTTGTAAAAACACACTTTATTTTTAAGTACAGTGAATTTTTGGTGCAGAGCTTTTATTTTGAAGTGCTGTTTCCTGCTGTAGAGTGAGTGACTAATGGACAGCTACTGGACAGAGACAGCAAACTAAATCGATGACATGACCAAATGCAAATACGACACCAAATGTATTAAACTATGTGGACCTTGAACAATGACTAAGGAGAAATCTGGACCCTCTAACTGGACCAGTTGAGAACTACTGTACTAGAAAATCTCACATACTGTTTTAGTGTACTAAATGGTATGTTAGTATGGAATCTTAGACACAGCCTCAGTTATGTGAAGGAAAGTAGAATGAAAACAAAAGTATTTGCATCATCTCACCTGAGCTGTATTGGTGATTGAAGTCTCTTTCGAGGCTGGAACAACAGGTGATGGTATCGCTTGGACACGGTCAGGCTCTTGCACTGGTGAGGTTGGCACAGGTGACGTGGCATTTTTCTTTAGTGTTCCTGTTAGTGCAGGTGTGACTTCTTGAAGATTTGTAGTGTATTCAGTGATGATTGATGATGACTGTTTTTCACTTTTTAGCTCTCTACATTTTACTCCAGATGCAGGTGTGAATCCATTTTGGAGCTGCTGATTTGCAGGTGGGGATATAGTCGATAACATGCAGGTCTGATCAGGTGTGAATCGACCAGCGTGGTCTTGAAATTTGGAAATAAATTCAGTGGTAAACCCTGTGGTGTGATCTTGGGTCTTCACGTTGCTGCCTGGCGTGAATGCTGCAGTGTAGTCCTGCAGAGCAACGTCACTGAGCACCTGCTCAACCTGCTGTGTCAGTGTGGAGTCCACACAGCCTCGTCTGTGCATGGCCTTCATCATCTGAACCAACAAGCTGTTCCTCTCCTGACACTTCACCACCAGGCAAGACAGCTTAGCCTGTGATTGGACAAAACACCTGCCAGTCAAACTCAAATGATCAGAAGTGTTGTAATATGACAGTAAAGAAAGCTGTATGTGTCTTTCCTCACCTTTAAAGGAGCTATATCCAGATCCTTCTGGCTCCTCTTTTTTAGGAGTGCATCATACTACAGTACAAACAAATGTAAAAAACAAATGAACACTACCGTTTAGAAGACACAAATAAAAACATCAGCTCATGTCATACAACAAACTTCTTTCTGTCACTGACTGCAAAGCCACAACTGACTGGTTACCCACCTTGGCTCTGATGTCGTCGTAACGTGTCCTGAGTGACACGAGAGCAGCGCTCAGATCATCCTTGCTGCCCTGCCCTCGTTTTAGAGCAATGTACTCCGAGTTTAGCTCCTCTAGAGCCACCGTCTATGGGGTTTTGCACACACATCAACACACACACACACACATCAACACACACACACACACACACACACACACACACACACACACAGGAACAGATCTGTGATGAGAGCTCTCATAGTCAAAAGATCATCAAAAGTCAAACAACTGAAGCACTGTGTTATGCTCAAGACATGCAATTTAGTCACGCACGTGAAGTAAAAAATGTAAATGTAACAATCTGTTCTGTCTGTACTACAGTGGAAGTGTTATATGTTTAAGCTTCAGATGAAGCATCGACACTTCCATGGAAATCATGTCTTTCTGGGTTGATTTTGAAGACAAAATTTGGGTTTCCAGAGACATTTTTTGCATTTATTTTAAAAAGGATGAACAAATTGTATCAGTGTCTGTGTCACGTGTTTGACAGTTTGTTTAGATCCAGGAATCTAATGTATAACAGTTCCATATACAAGCACTTGGAGATGATTTATGTTACATAACAAATGAAAAACAAAGATATTATTACCTTTGCTTTGAGCTGAGCTGTAAGGATGTTGTATTGCTCCTCTATTTGTGCCTTCAGTGACAGAGCGTCAGTCTTCTCCCTGACCAGGCCTGTCAATTTGCTCTGCAGCTCCTTCACCTGCAGCAGACACAAACACCAGTTGGGTCTAACAGATGACAGATAAACAATGTATTTGTTCGGAAAAAAACACGGATAGACCAGACTACGGATCATATTTAGGCTACTACCCTATCTATTTGGTGAAATACCTGGGTTATGAGGTTCTCATTTTCCTTTCTGGTTTCCTCCATCTGATTGGCGACATCTGTCAACCTTGCCACCTGGTCAGCCGCTTGTGCTGCCTTCCTCTCTGCCTCCACCCTCCTGTCTTCTGACTCATACAACTCACTGTGCAGCCTTTTGGTCTGAACACGCCACAAACATAAACATGAACATATTAAGTCAGTGAAATCTTCAATGATGCATAAATGTCCTGTTTATATAAAACAGAGCCAACAATAAGAACAATTCAAACTCCTAGCCAGTACAAGTTCTGTACAGTATACAGTAAGCATGGTAAAGATTATTATAAAAAAATCTAACTTTTGGAGGTAATAGGTGGACTAACAAATCCCAACACAAGCTCCACTGAGTTTCCTTTCACCTAAAGACAGTAAGTCAGCCATCAGTTGGAAATGTTTTGTCCGACTGCTATTATTTATTTTAGTCAAGAGAATGTCCAAAGTAAATATTAACTTCTATTACAAAAACAAAACAATAAAAACCTACCTTTTCAGCCAAGATTTTAATCAAGAATGGTTAAAATACATTATTTTATTTTTTATACCTCTTGTCAGTTTTAATTGTTTTTCTTTTGTTTTTGTTTTAATCTGTTTTATCTATTTTTTTAACCATTTCATTATTATTATTATAGCTTTTAAATCTTTTTTTATTGTATTTTATTGTCTCATTTTTATTCTTGTTTTGTCTTTTAATCTGTTTTACCTAGTTTTTAATCTAGCTTTTCTCAACATTTTATTATCATTTTTATTATTATTACTATTTTATCATTGTTATTATTATTGTTGTTGTCATTTACATATATTTTATTATTTTAATTCTTGTTTTGTCTGTTGTTTATCTGTTTTACATAGTTTTTCATCTTGTTGTTTTTATAAACATTTTAAAATTATTATTATTATTGATGTTATCATTATTACTATTTTTATTATTATTATTATTATTATTACTATGGTTGCTGTTGTTGTCATTTAAATGTATTTTATTGTATTTTACTGTCACCATTTTTATTCTTGTATTGTCTCTTTAATTTATTTTACCTAGTGCTTTAATCTAGTTTTTATTTCACTCCATTTTACCTCTATTACTGTTGTTACAGCTTTTAAAACTAATTATCTTTTCATCATTTTTATAGTCTCCCGTGCATCTGTCTCAAATTGTTCAATTGTTATTGTCTTTCTCGTTTTTACGGTCCAATTATCTGCTTGTCAGTCATCTGTGAAGCACTTTGAATTGCACTAACCTGTATAGACTGTATAAAGCGTGATATTAAAGGTTTATGTTGACATGTAAACTCACGTCAACATGGCTCTTGTCCAGATCGTCTCGTGACCTCTTCAGTTCTGCTCCCAAACCTTCAATCTCCCTCATCAGATCCCTTTGCTCCTGTTATCCATCAAAACCATGTTGAATAAGTACATAATAATCAGACATAATCATACACAATGAACCATAATGTTTAAAGGATATTAACATGACACTAACATAATGCACAAAGGCATTTATCACACTACTCTTAATACCTGTACAGAGTTCTCCCTGTGGTCATGACTCTCAGTCTTCTTTGTGGTAGCAGCGCTGTTGTGAGTCCCCCCCTCTGTTTGTGTGTGGCTGGACAGAGCAGTTTGGAGGCTGTGTCTTTCCTCTTGAAGGCCCTGAAGTGATAACTTTATCTGCTTTTCTTCCTGTTTCAAACAACTGATTGAGTGTTCAATTCTTTCTTTATCTTCTCTCAAACTGCTGACTGCCTTTACTAACTTCTCGCTGTCTTCTTGTGAAGTGTAAGATGATTGTTCCTCTTCTCTCCGTTCCTTCAGACACTTAAGGGAATCAGTTAGTTCATCTCTCTCCTGTTTCAAATAGAGCACCGCCTGGCTTAACTGCTCACTCTCTGTCTGTAAACTTTGTAGCGACTGCATGATTTGATCTCTCTCTTCTTTCCTACTTGAGAGAAATTCTAACAGTTTTTCTTTTTCTCTGTGGAGACCAGATAAAGACTCCTTCTCCTCTTTCAGGCCACTCACGGACCTTATAATCTGATCTCTCTCATCCTTCAGCCCACAGACTGTCCTGGTAAGCTGCTCTCTCTCTTGTTTGAGACCAGCCAGATATTGGGAGATGCTGTCTTTCTCCTCCTTCAGTCCCCAAACTGTCCGAGTTAACTGCTGTTTCACTTCTGTCTGCATTTGGACTGACAGAGCTACTTCTCTCTGCTGCTCTCGGAGAGTATTTATGCAGCCTGACAATTCCTCTTGTTCTGTTTTGAGGCTCTGGACCGACTTGGTCAGCTGGCCAACTTGATCGGTCAGTGAACTAACATGCTGACTGTTTTGCAGGCTGTTCTGCAACACATCATTGTGATTATTATGTTGAGAATGAGGTGCTGAGGCTTCTGTCAAATCGTCTTCTTGTTGGCTGTACATCAACTGTGAGTCTTCCCCTTTTAGCACGCTGTCCACCAAACTGTTCACACACTCTTCAAGGTTTTGTTGAAAACCTCCTGATGGTGCAGCTGGATATTCACTTTGCAGTTGAGATCCACACAGTTCCTTGTCAGCCTGCGATTGCTCCACACGCTGCTCACTCTCCATTAACCTTTGTTGCAGCTCCATGATGGTATTGAGATCGTCCTCTGTCTTCTTGTTGAGTTCTGTAATCAGACACTCTTGTTCTTGGTGTTCCTGCTCCAGTCTGACTCTGTCCACCTCCAGCTTGGACATGTGTTCCCTCAGCTGTGTTTCCTCCCTCTTGGTTTCCTCTTCTCTGAGCTCAATATGAGCCAGGAGCTCCTGGATCCGGTCCGCCAAGGCCCGGTTCTCCTGATTCAAGGCCTGGACAAGATCATCCTGAGAGGGGGCGAGAATGGTATTATGTATTATGTGTTGCTAATTTGAGTGTACATGAAGGTAGAATTTGTCATCTGTACTGCAACCTCTGTGACATACCTTTTCTGTTGAAGACCCCTGCTCCGCCTCTTCCTCTTTCCTGAGCTGCGATTTCAGTCGAGTATTCTCTTGAGCCATCACCTGCAGCTGCTCCTGCGTGCGCTCCAGGGCAACCTGCAGGCGGTCACATTGTTCTTGAAGTGCTTCGAGATCCTCCCCTAACCCCAGGCTCCTGTAGGCTTCCCGCAGGGCATCAGATTCTGCACTGGGAGTTTCCTCCAGGTTCAGGATCCCTCTGGAGCACCAGGTCCCCAGCTTAAACTCATCTAGTGTCTCTGTAGTCAAGGAGAGTGACTGGAAACAGGGAGTGGTCTTGGAGCCGAGGTGGTGAGAGATTTCAGGTGAAGTTTCTAGTTTGGCAGATGAGGGATGATCCTGTGTGTTGTTCTGCATACTTTCTGCTGTCGCCTGGTGGTGAACAGGTGGAACTGCGGATGACTGAGGCTGGCCTGTTCCCTCATCCGATATTCGATGTGCCTACACAGGAACACAGTTATCATTTATGTAAACGTGAAACTAACAAGATGCTCAATAATATCACATAATCCAAATTCTTGTCTCAGTCAGCTATAGTGACATACTGATATTTAGATACACCTGTGTAAGCATTTACAATAGGGAAGGTGGTTATGTAATACTGTAAATCCTCGCAACGGAGCTCTCACTTTTCGGGAGCTGTAATACCATCTCATGAAATAACAAGAAGGAATTTACAGCATTAAGCCAATAATAACAATGGATTGAATATTTATTGATCCCTTTGTTGTTTTTTTAACCAACTGGATTTGGCCTGTCTAATGTGAAAAATATGGGGGCAGGAATTTGTCACCTTTCAAACGTGTGTAAGCCACTGATTCACAATCATACAATACAGGCTCTAAACAAATCATCCTTATCTGTTTTAAGGAGCATTTGATTTGGTCTTAAGAACCCATAAATCCATTTTACAAATTCCCCACATCCATAACGTTATTCGTTATTCGATAGGGACTTTGCTTTGATCCTGTGGCGCTCTTACTTTAAACCACATGTGGAATGATGCACAAAATCTGACAATAATCAAGCACAAATTCACAATAGCTGCGATCATGTTGCCCATTTCTGCAAATTGGCACCAACAGTTAATCAGCTGTCGTTTGGCTCGTGACCAATCTTTCCACAAAACTGTGTGCAAATCACACACATACACACTTAACTAGCATGAACACAAACACACCTTCCCACCACCGACCAACCACCTAACAGAGTGAGCTATAGAGCTGTCAGTCGCAGCCTTAAATGTTTGTTTAATATCTTAATAGAGCACGTTTTTCTCTTGAGAACAGGACACCCACTGTGCAGTCAGCCATCTTGCCTGTTATTGACTTGTGCTTGTGAGGTATCCCGTACTCTCACGCTGCTCGTTTCGCTTTAAAACGGCTTTATGCCGTTTACCTCTGTGCCCTGCGTTTCATTACAGGAGATAAATATTGTACTAATCACCGTGAGCTGTGTGAAAAAGTGGGCTGGTCCTCACTAACAATGAGAGGAGAGCTACTATCATTTATGTTTGTAAATGTCTCCTACTAAAGCTGCCTCAGTATATCACGTCCCCTCTCGAATTCTCAATCAGATGAAGACAAGGACTGGATTAACTCTTTGAGATCAGGTGTCAATGAGATTAAGTAAAGGTTATATTAATAATCATCAATCATATTTTACGCACCTCTCTAGGACTCGCTGCTGAGGAATGTCCAATGGCAGTGATGTATGAGAGAGTGTTGGTCCCAGGACTCGGGCATGTGGATGACTGACTGGCGGCTGCATCTGTAAGGATCTGCTGGAGTCTGTGGTTCTCCTCTCTCAGCTCTTCCATCTCCTCCATCAAGGAGCTTTCAGACAGCTTCAATTGGTGCACCTCCGCCTTCATCTCCTCCACTTTGCAGCCCAGGACGTGGCTGCTCTCCTGGGCCTCCTGGAGCTGATCCATCAGCCCCCTCCGCTCTGTCACCCCATCCTCCTCTCTCTCCAGGAGCACCCTGAGATCCTCCTGCAGGCTCAGGATGAAGCCTTGCAGCCTGGCTTCATTTGAGTTCGTGTCTTTGACTCTTCCCCCTTGTATTTCTTTCCCCGCGTCTTGCCCACCTTCTCTGTCTGTTCCCACACTTGGCTGCCATTGCCTCCTCCTCTCCTCCTTTCTTTCTTCCTCTCCTTCCCCCTCTCCTCTCATGGGAGGCAGCCTCTCTTGTTCTTCCCTGTGTGTTACAGACGCGGCAGTAATTCTGACTGCACCGATGGTTGCCATGCCAGTGGCGGCACTCACAGTCATGTCCAGCAGCTGCTTTTCTAAGACATAGATCCTGTTCTGTAGGCTCTGCTCTCTGTCCCGGGCCAGGCTGAGCTTGTGTTGGAGTTGGGCTTTAAAGTTCTCAAAGTACTGGGACTGGCGACTCATCTCATCCTCTTTGGCCTTCAGCTGCCTCTGACAGCGCTGCAGTCGGTCCCTCCAAACCTGCTCCCCTTGCTCCTTCTCCTTGGTCTGTGCAGGAGGAAAGATGGAGACAAAGAGAAAATATTTAAGAGAGAGTAGAGTCTGGAACACCAACTCCTGAGTTATCCTTGTAATCCCAAGTTTGAATGTAACCTGACCTTTGTAGCATTGCTTGTAATTTTACACATCTAGTACAGTCTTCATGTTTACAGTTTGTACGTCAATGCCTATTGATGCATTTAGAGATCCCAAGCACTCACCATGGTCCTGACCTCCTCCCTGAGCATGTAGAGTCTCTGGTCCAGCCTCTGTGAGTGTTGCATGCTGGGAAGGTGGGAGGATGAGGCTAGCTGAGACAGCTGCTGCAGCAGGCTCCTCTCTGACCTCTCTAACCGTCTGATCCTAACGCCGGACCACAGACAAGTTCACATTACATTATATCAGCTTCACACATATTTGCACATTGACATAGAGGTTTGCAGCTTTAATATCAATAATAAATTAATAATTTCCTGTTTTAATTTGATCTAAAAATCTACAAACTTGGTTCAGTTTTACCTCCCTGTGCAAGAAAAGATGAAAATCTCCTACAGCGAGTAATTCCAGGGGAGATGTTAGCAGCAGTGTGCTCGCATGCAAGTGTGCAGTGCAGTCAGGTGTGTGTGATACGTGATATCACCTTGGCCAAAAGTGAGTATATAGTGGCGTGTGTGTGCGTCTGTGTGTGTCACTGGATCCCCTCTCCCCTAGTCACTCACCTGTTCCTCAGGTAGCTGTCAGACCGGAGGACTGAACGGGCACTCTGCTCCATGTCAGCTCCCACTGAGTCTGTTACCATGGCAACAGAACTGCTTCCGGTACCCTTCGTTACAGATGAGGTCATGTGATCCTCCGTTGGTTAGCCTGTGCCCACTTGGTGAGTTTTACCTGTGGCACAGGAAGTGATGGTGTCAGACTTACTTAATAATAAAAGGAAAAGTGTTTCACATTTTCTCTGTGGTGCTTGTTTTTTTTTCTTATCCACACATCTGTCATAAACACACAGACGTAGGCAGAGATAAACACAAACATAGAAGAGATACACGCGCATAAAATAGTCATCTATTATTCACCATCTCAACAGCTTGGTGGCAAGCTGTCGAGCACAGGTAGATCTATCTCTCAGGTTACCCCACCTCCTAATCAACCTGTCTCCTCCTGCACCTTCTACCACATCTGAGAATACCAAAAACTTAAAGGGTAGGTTCACATCTATACTCATGTGCCCGTGCATTGAAACTGTTTTGGCTGCTGTAATCATTGTCCCTGTTCATACTGCCCATTAAAAGGTATGGGTACCTACACAGGAAGTTCCCAGTACACCTCTTTTCAGGAATGGTTCACACAGTTGGCAAAAGTTGCACAATCACACACACACACAAACAAACTTATTTAAGCTCTAAGGAAAGGACTGAGTAATATGTAGCATGTTGGAGAGACTACTTGGAATACTTTGTTAATAAATAACAGTTCAAAACACATACACAGCACGCATACACTCTTAATGTAACTGAGAATTAATTTTTTGCTTGTAAATTAGATTAAATTGTGGTGCTTATTAATGTAGAAATAGTCCACTGGGTTTGTGTGATTTAAAAAAAATATTTTCAATTGTCTCTTATTATTTTATTTTATTTATTTAGTAGTCATTTGATTTGTCGACAAAAATGTCACAATGTCTGTATACAAAAATAAAATAAAATACTAATTACAAAAAAAACACTACTAAAGGAGCATTTTACCAACAAAAGGACCCTCTGTATGTCAGTTACTCATGATGTACCGGCTTGAATTCATGAGGAAAACATTTTTTTCTCCGATACCTCCACTAATAACTGCAAACATATTTATTTATTGATTGACTGGGGTCCGCAATTAGTGTAATCCGAGTCTATTTCATCCAGTCGTATGTTCAGTACTTCCTCAACACATGGATTTTTGTTAAAACTTAATGTTTATCAGTGAAATTTTTTCAGTGAAAATACATGTGTTTGGTTACTGAGCATACGACTGTTTAAATGATACTTGGATTATCCTGCATGAGCTGTGTGAGTTTGTTAACAGATGCTTTGATAGTACTGCAGTTTTGCTGTTAAACGCAGTCCTCATTCAATCAGTAAATGTTTGCAGTTTTTTGTGGAGGCATGCAAGAAAAACAGTCTTCACAAATTCAAAATACCAAAGCATGACGGACTGATTCACAAATGGTCATTTAGTCGGTGAAGTATTCCTTTAAGAAAGTCATGAAAAAATGTGGACCTATCCTTTAAGCTCAACGTAATAAGTAATTCAACAGGCCAGTTTGGCTAATGCATAACTATAGTCTGTAAGGCAAGACTACATGAGTCAATGGATAACTGTTTCACATATGTATAATCAGAAACCATTACTCTTGCAGATTTTGTATTCTTGTACTCTAGCAGTAAAACTTACACAACCTAAAATCAGTTGTTGTAGTGGTGAATGTACAATGGAGTCAATTATCAAAGGTAAAATTAAATAGTAACCTGGTTTTTGCGTTCCACTGATTGTAGTTTCATCTTCTCCATGCAGCGACGAGCTTCCAGTGAATTCAGCTTCTGCTCTGCGAACTTAGTTGCGCTGTTGTTTCCTTAGAAACGCCACAGACGTTGGACTTTGCCAGAAACCTCCACATCCAGTTGGCACTCAGTTTGTTCACCCCCACACTCAGCACTGTGCTTTCACTCTTCTTCTTCTTCTTCTTCTCCTCCCTCCATCTCTCCTATTCTATTGTCCGACTGGGAATTCTTTCAACTGAGGCTGTGGCTCGTCTCCCTTTAATAAATCCTCTGTTTCAGAGTTTTCTCTCAGTAAATCCATGTGTTTGCTTCTCACAGAGGAGTTTTTTTACGTTCCAGGTCCAAGAACCACTATAGTAAATGTTATTCATAAATAAATCTCACTTTAATCTCATGTATATCTGGTTACTTATAGTTACACAAATATGTTTGCATTCCAGGTAAGGGTCAAAAGTGCACATTTATCAAAAAAGGCCATGGGGTTTTCGTGAGCGGTCTACAAATGCATAAAAAACAATTAGGTTTTGTTTTGTCCTCACTTGCCTCCACAGCACCTTAACACCTAAGAGAAAGAAAACACTTTTTAATTATTTCCTTGACATTATTGTTGTCACTGTAACTGTGTTAGAAACTATGATACAGTGAATAAAGGTGCTACCTGATGTGGGTCCACAGTCACTTTCATTAAGGCCAAAGAATAAATGCTAAAGAGAAAAACAAAAAGAGGAACAGAAACTAAAGGAACACAAGGAGTTTAAATAACAGGTGAAAAGGAGAGAGAAGAAAAGAGTGTCAAGAAGTTAATAAAATAACACACAGCATCAGTACAGCAGATGTTAAGTCCTTCAAGTTGTCTCTTGTTTATCGTTGTCTTGTCACGCTACAGCTAACACAACAAAAAGAAACACAAAGTGTGAGTATGTACCTTTTCCTCTATTTCCTTTATTTGTCTCTTTTGCAAGTCAAGCCTGTCCTCCAGCTCTCTAATCCTCTGCAAGGCAAAGACAGACGTGGTTAGCTCGTCAAAGTATCTCGGCCAGATCTCATCAAATCTAACAAAAGAAACAGTTTATAAACAGTTAATAAGACCGTGATCCAACTATTCCTGTATATGCTCCAAATACTCTGCCTCTTTCCCATCATGCCTTCTGTCTCCATGGTAGCTGTGTTGGGTAAGACGGAGCTGCCATGGCAACCGAAGACCAGATTTAAAAGTGAACCGTGGAAATGACTATATCTTTGGGCCTTATATTAAAACCAGAGCAGATCATTCACTGACTCTGGAATGACACGAGTGTTCACAGAAGTATATTTAATCTAGTTACAGTATCTATAAGTGTATTCAGGATTAAAAAGGAGGCAAACACACAAGGAAAGACACAAATTATAAAACTAAAATACCAGCTCTTTCATTTAATATCTTCCAAATGTATCTTTGGTGAAGCTAAATGCTTCAAGCAAACCCAGCTCAGTGATTAATAAGGTAATAAAAACAAGCTGTTAAAATTATTGTTACTGGACCACTGAGTCAGCCATGAGAGTGAGTAAGTGTGTAAACTGAAGCCAACTGTGGGGAGGAGGAAACGGTTTTTCTGGATTTTTAGATCTATCTATAAACAGTCAGCAGTTTCCATAAATGTATTTACTTTGTTAGTATATTTCATGAGTAGTTGATTAGAATGTGTTTTAAAAGTCCTGTATATAACTCTAGAGAAAGACAGTTGATTGTGGAGTTTCATTCATGTTCATCAAACACTGACGCTTTGGGTTGGCTGTCTGAACCATAGACCCAAAGTGTAGGTATTTGACAACCTGGATATGACACTCATATCCCTTTTTTTCTTGGTGTGGGCTGCAGCCCAGCACAGCAGGAATTTACAACAGGGCTACATCTTGAAGGTGTGTCTTACGGCGCATTCACACTAGGGATGCACCAACCCGATATCTGGATCGAATATCGGCCCCGATATCATCAAAATAGATGGACTGGGTATCGGAAAATGCAACCTAAACCTGAGGCGATCCTTTCTCTTCAAATCTTTTGCAACGCGAGCTACGTCACATACGCCATGGAGCGAAGGAGAGAATCTACTGTGTGGAGGTATTTCACACTATTGCAACTGCTGTTGCACAATTGTTTATTTTAGTTAAAAATAAATAGCTCATCATTGCATTAATCTGTTTAATCTTGTTTCATTCATCAATGCCTGATGCCTCTAATCTTTTCTGTTCTACATGTAAAGGTATATAGCTTTTTAGGTCAACCATGGTATCGGATCGGTATCGGGTATCGGCTGATACTCAAAGCCACAGCATCGGGATCGGTATCGACACTGAAAAAGCTGGATCGGTGCATCTCTAATTCACACCAGGATAGTCCGGGGGACTTATTTCATTTGGGCGGAGAATGCCGAAAAATGTTACACCTTCATTTGGTTCAGTTCACTTTCACACTAAAGTCGACCAGTCGACCAAACCGCTTGGACAACGTCACGCAGTTAGAACAGCTGCTCGTTTGTGGGCGGTATTGCCCGAAGCAACAAGCATAGCATGAGGAAGAAAAAAACCCGGCTCATCGATTGGCCAGGACAGAAAACAGAAATCCATGCCCTTAAGCTGGCTTGGTCACCACAAAAACAATGGCGCAACACCAAATTTATCAATAAGCGCCTGCACCTCCTCACTACTCCACGTCTGCCCACAAGACGTTTTCCAACTTTTTCTTTTTTACCTATGCTTCTCCTGGTTTGCGCTGTTGGCTTTGTTTTTTTTCTTCCAAAATGCACTGCGCTCTAAGTCACTTCCTCTCTTTGGTTCGCTGCATAGTCCTTTTGCATTTCCCACTGTAAGCGCACCAGGGTTCACTTGCAAGTGAACCGAGAACCCCAGTTTTCAAGCAGACCAGGGTTCAAGGGTCAACTATGTTTCTCCAGAGTTACAAACTGCACTTTTAGTGTTATGTGGTTAGATATTAGGAAGACCATGTTAGTAGGTTACAGCTCAACAGATTCAAATGAAGTTTAAGTTGCAGTGGTTGTTGATGTACTCAATGAATCACATATACTGTACGAGCCATGGGTGTAAAACTAATGTGAGGGCTGCAGAGTGGAGGGGTACTGAAGGAGTGGGGGAGGTTATTCAGATCACAATGAAATACACACACTAGCACACACAGAGTCATTCTGTCTCATCTTTTCACTCTTCCACTTCTACATCTGGACTTACAGATAGTGTTACAGGTTGCACACACAGGGATACTGCATCTTTTTCATAGCACCAGAGGTCTGGTGGGGTCAGACGTTTCAGACAGGAACCAGGGGTCAGATTGAGGGAGGGCAGGACTCAGTAACCTGACTGCATTTGTTTTAAGCCTTACCTGCTGGGCCTGCTGTAGGAGCTCCATGCGCTCCTGTAAGATCTGACTGTCAAACTGCCGGCTCTGCCGGAGAATCTGACGCCGCAGCTTGTCCACGGCTAGCCTCAGCTCCTCCCTCTGCCTGTCTGTCAGCGACTCGGCCACCGCCTGGCATGCCGGCTGCTCCTGCTGCAGAGCGCTATACAGCGTGGCCTCCAGCTCCTCGATCCTCTGCACAGCCAGCCATATACACACACACATACAGGTACATACACGCACACGGACGTGCACATGCACATGCAGAAACACACACAGGCATGCACAAGCACACACATGGAGGCACGCACACAAACAGATACAAACACACACACATACACACACCACTGTGACCATGGCAGATATGGGGAACACTGTTCCACTTTATATTGGGGGTTACTGAGGCTTGACCTTCACATGGTAACTTCATTATATCAACAACACAAACTGTGTTTTTATTCTCTCTGTTCCAGTAAAGTTACCATGTGAACAACAAGCTTTTACCAACACAATATAACGTGGGACCATAAACACAAACCAACACCAAAACTGACCAAATCAAACGGTTAGAATTTTATGGAAAGTGACCTAAGTGTCAACTTATGTTTACTGCGAACAGCCTATTTAAATCAGTGGGAGGGGAGAATGTTTTAAGATCATTCATGCTAACAAAATCTAACACTAAAATCTTATTAAACCCATTCTGTCTAATTTTTCTTCAGCTTCACTTGTTGTCCACATGAACCAAGTACACAGGATATACATGAAGGCATTACATCTTCATATTTTCTACAATTTAAGACTAAATCAGTGAATGGCATAAAGCCAACAAACAAGAAGCCAAATACCTCGGCCAATTCAGTGGCTTCCATTGTTAAGAGAATTTAGATTTCAGTGGTAAAAGATGCAGTATCCCGACACAATGCAACAAATTTTACCTTTATGGAGGATGTTGCATTCATGATGTTTAATGGGGTTCCAAATGTTTATGTGTCATGCTGGAATGACAATGGTGCACCCCTGCATTCCTCAATCACTTTATCATGAACCACTAGTGCTTGTACACAACCTTGGTTAATGTTGTAAATAATATAAATGAGTGCATGTTGTCTGTTTGAGAGGCTTTGGCCAACTTTTGCATAAAGGGATAAGGTCATACTGCTCCAGGTTCCGTACCATGTAGGCCTGGTCCAAGGCCTGCTTCCTGTAGTCCAACTCTTCCTCGAGGAATCCCTTCTGCTTACTGAACAGCTCCTACAACGAGATGTGATAACATAAAATGCAGGATGTGGTATCACAACTAAATGGTAGAGTACAGTGCATACTGTAGAGCCAGGAAAACTGTGAGTGGCACAAATTAGATTTGGGTGGACTTTTTGACATTGGAACAAGAGAAAAAAAACCAAGCAGATAAATAGCTTGTTTTGTTTATGCAGCAGTCAAAGGTAAAGTGTATTTGTATCTTTAACTTAAACAGTTTAAAGCTTGTGTACTCTGATGGTATTGATTTTTCACCTTGTCATTTTCCAGGTCGATCATCTTCTGTGTAAGAGCGGCCTCTGTGCTATCTATCTGCTTCAGCCACTGTACACAAAAAGAAGGCGAAGTTCATGCATTTTCAGAAGCTACAATAGCTGTATTATTATCATCTGTGTTTAATTTAACAAAAATGAATCAAATGTAGTGGCTGCACTGGGGATACATGAAATGTTATTGCAGCGGGTGTCCACCATGTGGCAGTAAAAACACAACATGTGTGAGAGGCCTTTCACTCACCTTTTCACACAGTGAGATCACTGTCCCTGCTTGGATCACTGCAACCTGCTCCTCATTTCTGAGATTCTACGAAAACAAAACACGAGTTATTAGAATTAATAAGAATACCACATATAAAAATTTCTTTTTTAATCCAGCAGTGTGTTAAAACTCACCCCATTATCCCCCAGGATATCCAGCTTCTTCATCAGCTCAGGAATGATTACATCCTGCAGGTCAAAGCCAGCCATCATATTGATTCTGTGAAGTCTTAAAGGACAATAAATAAAATAGTCTGTGTTGGTGTGTGTGTGTGTGTTATCACCTTGACTCCCTCCTGGTGGCAGTAGATCTGCAGGGCACTGCTGCTGTTCTCAGGGAATGCAGACATGTGCAGATTGAGGGCAGGAGA